TAGAGTTCTCTATCTCTGGGAGCCACTCCCATACCCTGGAGTCAGAGGAAAGTCTAACTCTGGGAGCCACTCCCATCCCGTGGGAGTCAGAGTCAATCCTAACTAGGGGACATAAATCCATTCCCTGGGAGTCAGAGGAATCCTCATTTTGGCAGCCATTCCCAATGTATGGGAGTCTTAAGGAAAAATATACCCAAGATAACTGGAGGTCGTTCTCTCTCTCTCTCTCTCTCTCTCTCTCTCTCTCTCTCTCTCTCTCTCTCTCCTTTTTTTGAGATAGTTTTTCTCTGTAGCTTTGGAGCCTCTCCTGGAACTACTCATTCTGTCGTCCAAGCAGATCTGGAACAACAGAGACCCACTGACCTTTTCCTCTAGACAGCCGGGTGGGACTAATGGGGTGAACAGTCACCACCCAGCTATCTGGATGCTTTTGTTGTTGTTGTTTGTTTGTTTTGAGACAAGGTTTCTCTTGTTAGCTGTCATAGCTGTTCTGGAACTAGCTCTTGTAGAGCAGGCTGACCTCGAACTCACAGAGAAGGACCTCACTTTTATATTGTCCCAAACTACACTTAAGAATCAGAAGTGGAGCCCAGCAGTTATTGCCCAAATCCTAGCATTTGGGAGGCAGAGGCAGGCAGATCTCTGTGAGTTCAAAGCCAACCTGGTTCTCCAAAGCATGCTCCAGGTTCCAAGACTACTAGGGCTATTACACAGAGAAACCCTATCTTTAAAGAAAGGGAAAAAAATCAGAAAGGGAAGGATCGACAGAGAGCACAGTTTGTGTATAGTGTTTACTTAGCATTCATGAAACCCTAGGTAAAGTGACAAAGACATCAAAAGCAGACGTTATTAAATATAAATAAATAACGTGGAAGAGTTAAAGCCTTCTGCCAATACTCTCCTGCACTGTTAGGAAGAAGTAAGAGGATAATGGGAAATTGACCAGGATGAGCAGAAACGGAAGAGAGGAAATACAGCAGTGGTTGAGGAAAGCGGGGAAGAGTATGATCCATGTATGACGTGTGCATGTCGGGAACGTTGCAGCAGTTCCCATACTTATGGCAAATGAGTGTGGACAAAGAAAAAGGGTCAGTTTCAAATATCTGAACGGGATACTAACATCCTGGTTGAATGGAAACTGAAAGCTAACACATAGCACAGGGATATTTAAAATGTCCTGAATTCAGAGCTGGAAGTGGGACACCCTCTGTGCTCCTCCAATCCTGTTCTCTGAGAAGGGACAGACTTGGTCTCCTATAGACCCTCTTTAGCCTTGGTCTCCACTACCTAACATCAGTGAAGATATATGGAGGTGAGGGTATCACTTCTAAAATAATGGGGTCACCACAAGTCAGGTGCTATAGTGTGACTTGGACATGGACATCTGTCCTGACTAGCCACAGGCTCTGTTCCCAGGACATTGTCAGCACAAGAGGGCAAAGGTTAGCCTTGTGAGTTTCAGCATCTCCATCACATCTTGTGTGTGGGTGGGTAATCTCTGTTTTCTTAGTGTGTGTGTGTATTTGTGTGTCCCAATGTGAATGCGTGCTTGTTGAAACCAGAGGCCTAACTAAGGTCGTTGTTCCTTAGGAGTTATCCGTCTTGTGTTTACAATGTGCTCTCTTTATATCCTGGATCTGGAAAAAAGGCTAGCTTTGATGGTTCCAGAGCACCAGGGATCCTTCTGTATCCATGCCAGCCCTGTGATTGCAAATGCAATCCACCATTCTTTGCTTTGCTTTTGCACATGGAGTCTAGGTTTCAAGCTCAGGTTTCCAAGCAAGCTCATTATGGATTGAGCTACCATCCCAGCCCATAAATGTTTCTCATTTTTAACCCAGAGGTAAATTTCTTTGTCTGATACTGTAGGGCCCAGTGAAAAGGAAGGTGGTGTTGCTATGTGCAACGTGGAGCCTAAGAAATAACCAAAAGTAGGGTAAAAGGCACCAAAAAGCCTTTGATGGACAATTACAGAATTCTTAGCACTCTACGCAGTTATTTCAGTAGAGTGACCCCTCCTGAGCTCTTCTCTGGGCTCATGGGCATCTTCCCTATGGCAAGGAGACTGGAATAGTTCCAGATTTGAATAGAAATAAGAGTACTCAGGCACCCCGCTAAGTCTGAATTAATGGAAGCTGGTCAGGAAAACAAAAGCGCAGTGTATTCTCACAGCAATGTTCTCCTCAAAATATGGAAAAGGAAATGTCAGGGAAACCCAAGGTGTTTGAAATCTGCCAAAAAGCGCTTGTAGTATGTTATTTTTCTGATCTAGATAACAAGATCACCTGCTCAAATTACTGCTTTCTCTTACTGACTACAGCCATCATGCCCAGAGGAAAGAAGAGTAAGGCCCGTGCTCGAGAAAAACGTCGTCAGACCCAAGATGAGGCCCAAGGGCTAAATGATGCTCCGTCAAAGGCATCAGAAAAAGCAGAGTCACTTGCCTGCTCTGATCAAGCTTCAGGAGATGCTAAGCCAAGCACTTCTACTGCTGACTTCCCTCAGGGTAAGGCACTCTCCACCGCTGCTAGTGAAGGCATGGCCCAGAAAATGTCTGGTAAAGGAGCAAAGGGCCAAGAAGAGCAAAATGGGTCTTCTCTTAGGGCCCCACTCTCCACTAGAAGCATGCAGATGGATCTTCTGACAAGGAAGACAGGAATGCTAGTGGAGTACATGCTTTGCAAATACAAAGTGCAGCAGCCCATGAAGAGGGGAGAGATGCTCAGAGTTATCAGCAAAAGGTTCAAGGAACACTTCCCTGAGATCCTCAAGAAAGCCTCCTATCGTCTAGATATGGTCTTTGGCATTGAGTTGAAAGAAGTCCAGCCCAATGGTCAGTCCTACATGCTTGTGAGCAAGCTAGATTTCGAGGATGATGGAAGTACGAGCAATGAGCTGGGTGTTCCCAACAGGGGCATTCTGATCCCTCTCCTAAGTGTGATCTACCTAAATAACTACAGTGCTCCCGAGGAAGAGGTCTGGCATTTCCTGAATATGCTAGGAGTCTATGATGGGGTCCCACATCTCATCTTTGGAGATGTCAGGAAGCTCATCACTGAGGATCTGGTACAGGAAAAGTACCTGGTATACCGTCAGGTTCCTAACAGTGATCCTCCTTCCTATCAGTTCCTGTGGGGCCCGAGAGCCTATGCTGAAACCAGCAAGATGAAAGTGATGGACTTTTTAGCCAAGATCAGTGAAACCATTCCTGAGGATTACTCATCTCGTTATGAACAGGCTTTGATTGAAGAGGAAGAGAAAGCCCAAGCTGCAGCTGCAGCCAAGTCTGGCACTAAAGGCAAGGCCAAGGGACGTACTAAGACCAAGTTAAGTCGTCCTACTCACAAGTGAGGTGTAAGGTAGCCTCTGCTTTATGATTGAAAAGGTCTGGTCATCTTTTTGCAAACAAGCTGTTGATAATGTTTTGGGGGTCTTTTTGCAAAGGTTTAACTTGGGGTTAGAATGCATACAGATAGTTTTTGTAGCCCGTTTCTTCACTGCTGTTTGTCAGGTTGAATGTTCACATGTAGAAATACAAATCGGAATTTTGTGAATAACTTTGGTGATGCTAAATCAAAGTAACATGGCATTAATAGAGGAAGAATCTTGGAGACAGCAAAATCGGGAGTAAAATATTTGAAAATGGACAAGACTGAAAGTTGGACATTTGTGGTTTACTTTTTCTTTTTTCAAGTTTAAGAGATGTACACTTGCATTTGTTTTTTATATTAAAGCATGCCTGCAAAATTTAATCACAGTGAATCGGATCTCTTTTTTTTAAGGTGGATGCTCTACATAAACAGTAGTTAAACATCCAGTCATGGGGTATCTTCAGACTTTCTACTGAGGATGTTTATTGAAAATAGGTCTAGCATCTGCCCATGCAGTGGACGATTCTAGGAGGTCTCATTGTACATGAGAATGAAAGGTAATCTCTTCCCAATGAAGAAAAAAAAATCAAGTTTTTTGTGGCATTAGACAGAAAACATTTTAAGGTGTTTTCTTTAAGAAAATTTCCTGATTGTTAATTTTATTGCAATTTCAAATGTTGTATACTCTGTGGCATCTTAATTTAGACATTAATTTAGAAAAGTAATCCCAGTGGATAGGTAGCAATGATTCAAATCAAAATGCTCCTATTATGATCCCTATGTATTTTGACTCTTTCACAATGGATTTTTAATTGAAGAGCAGAGTATACAGACATTTCAATTCTGAAAACATGTACTTAAACTCTGAAGTCATACATTGTGTTCACATACCCTAAAGAGCCATGTGTTGTTTCTCTTTGATCTTACTCCAGTGATGTTCCAGTCTGCAACTTGGCAAATTTTCCCTACGACCTCTCATAACCCTTCATTCCACTGATTCACAGTTTTATGCCACACACAGTATATACTCAAAAGTTCCATAGTTCAAAAGTTTTAGAAAAATGGACTGACATGACAGAAACATTTAAAGTTCTGAGAGGAGTGTTATTTGTTTTTTGTTATTATTGTTTTGTTTGTTTGTTTTTTTTACTAAACAGTTCTACTAGAAACATGAGACCAGATCTAACTGAAAATGTTCCAGAAACAAATACACTACTAAGACTCCACATTGTGGTTTAATATTCTTTGTCGTAGGATGTAAAGCTAACCCCCTCTACAGAATGTTGTGGTGACACCCAGACAGACACAACCTCTCCTGATCCAGTATCCTGCTCTTTTCTGGTTATACCAGAAATAGACCAACTAATGATTTAACCGCTTGACAAATTGTTTACACTTCAAAAATGGGGTGAAGTGGGATTCTTTCCCAATTTTAAAAATGTTTCTAGAGCTATTAAAAACTCATATTTACAAAATAGTTAATAAAACAATGTTCCTCTGAATTGTACAAGAATGGAGGCAGGGACCACTGACAGAAACAATAGATGGTGTTCATGTTAGGGTGTGAGAGAAGCCCCCCCATAGAAGACGAACAGCCCACATATGCAATAACAAGAGTGCCTTATTAATTTTAATGTTGGATTGGTACATGGCGACACCCAGATTATAATCTCCTTTTAGGATTATAATCTCCCTTTAAGCATAGTTAGGTGAATTCCCCTTAGGAGTTATTAAATCTGTGACTGATTGGGGGAGGAAAAATTTGTGTGGGGGCTGATCGGTGGGAGATCCTAGTGGCTAGGGACCTTCTAGCAGCAGGGGATGGAAAGCTATCTTTAGTTATCAGTAAACTGGGGGCACCTGCTGAGCCAGCAAAGGGGTTTTGGGGGCTTGCTGAGCCGCAGAAGGGGTCATGGAGTGTCTGATGAGCTATAAGAATGCTGTGGGGTTTTTTTTTGGACTGTTTAGTGAACTGATACTAAGGCTTAGATTTTTGTTACTAGGAGAACCTGATCTGCACCCCCTCAGTTCTTTTATTTTCCCCTTGAGAGTGGGTCATCTCAAATCCTGGAGATGCATTGCTTCAATTTGCAGGCTTATATTGCTATCTCAGAACTATCAACTGGACTGTAGAGAGAAAGGCATGATCACCAGGTCTCCAGGCTGGAATCCATGGGGTACAGGAGGCAGTGTCTTCTCACAGACTGTATGCTGCTGAGGCCAGAGTTGTTTCTGCAACTGGCTTAGAACTTGTATGGAGGAAAGCAATCTTTGGTCATCAAATTCAGCCAGTAATTCTGTCCTAAGATCGGAGAGAATGGTGGAGACCTGACATACATAATCTCAAATGGGGTCAGGCCTAAGGTATAAGGAGAATTGTGAACCCTGTAGAGAGCAAAGGGGAGGAGAGACACCCAGTCACCGCCAATCTCAAGGGTTAATTTGGTTAGGGTCTCCTTTAGGGTTTGGTTTGTCTTGTTTACCTGGCCTGAATTTGGGGGACAATGAGCACAATGAAGTTTTTAATTGGTCCCCATAGCCTTAACCAGTTTTTCTGTTACCTGAGAGATGAATGCAGGTCTGTTATCTGAGCCCAAGAGTACAGGGAGACCAAATCTTTTCTAGTAGCTTCTTGACCACCCTGCAGCAGTCTCATGCTTAGTTGGGAAAGCCTCAGTCTATCCTGAAAAGGTATCTATAAAAACTAGCAAATATTTATAGCCATATAGGCCTTGCTTTACCTCTGTGAAATATGACTCCATTTTTTTTTCCGTATTGACAAGATGGCTACAGCTTCTGCTGTTTTGGCCTTAAGGTCAAAGACATTACGATATGTTCTTTTTTTTTTGAGACAGGGTTTCACTGTAGCTTTGGAGCCTGTCCTGGAAGTAGCTCTTGTAGACCAGGCTGGCCTCGAACACACAGAGATCCGCTTGGCTCTGCCTCCCAAGTGCTAGGATTAAAGATGTGCGCCCAAACTGCCTGGCCAGATGTGTTCTTTTTAAGAGGTCCTGTATTTTTCTTTCTCCAAGTGAGTACTTTGGTGTATTTGTCGGACTAGTTGAGTGACAAAGTCTAATGGGAGGATGATTCGTTCATCCAGGGTCCTGAACCATCCTTCCTCCTTTTAAATGTTTGTACCTGAGTAGATTTTTTTGAAGCACTTGGTCATTGTAAGCTAGAGATTTTGACAATGTAGGTGTTATCATCTTTGGTGTGGCCCCAGGATGGCTGCTGTCTGGAGGGCAGCCTCCTTTGTTGCCTTGTCTGCATAGCTGCTTCCCCTCGATATTGGATCCTCTCCCTTTTGGCACTCAGGGCAGTGTATGACAGCAATCTCTTGGTGCAGCCATATGGCCTGTAAGAGGTCTAAAATCTGCTCTTTATTTTTTAATAACCATTTTTTTTGTTTCAGTTAACAATCCCCTCTCCCTGCAGATGGCACCATGGACATGTATTTTGGCAAATGCATACCAGCTATAGGTATAGATATTTTTTTTTCCTTTTCCAACTGCAGTGCCTTTATGAGAGTCATCAGCTCCACCCTCTGGGCTGATGTCCGTATGACTTCTTTCTCAGTTGTAACCACTGCCCCCTAGATATCATCTTTGATGAAGCTACTGCCATCTGTATGCCATGTTACCTCAGCCCTTAACAAAGGGACATCCTTGCGGTCTGAACCCGTGGAGATAGCTCAGAATGTCCAGACAATTGTGGAGAGGCTGGGAGCAGAGTGGCAGTGTTCAGAGGCACTGTTCTGGGTGTACTGGATCCTGGGTGGGTTCAGGAGAAAAGCCTGATAATAATAATAAGAGTCAATAGAGAGTTAGTGAGCCATCTATCAGGAGAATGTTTAAGTACCCCCTCAATAGCATGGGTGGTGGTCACTCTAAGAATTTGCCCCAAATTTAGCTTGTGTGAGTCTTTAACTAGTAAAGCTGTTGCTGCAATTATTTGGTGGCAAGGAGGCCTTTTTCATGGACCCAGGGTTTGCATCAATACCCCTGTGGCCATTTCCTTCTTATCCATATACACGTGGAAGGGTTTAGTGGCATCTGGTAGTGCCAAAGCAGGCACATTAGAAGTAGAACCACCTTAATTTTATTGATGGCCATTTTATCTGTGGAGTTCAAGCGAGGGAAGTCTTTTCCCTCCCCTTGTGGCCTCATACAGAGGCCAAGCTAGTTTAGCAAATCCAGGAATTCAGAGCCTACAGAACCCAGCAGACCCTAAGAATTTTCTCACCTTGTGACAGTTGTTGGGTTGGAAGATCCTCAGGATGGTCTCTTTCCTTGCTTTTGACAATCACCTTTCCCCCCGCTTTGAGTATGTACCCCAGGTAAGTTGCCACAGTCTGACTGAGTTGAGCCTCTTTTGCTGATACACGATACCCTAAGTCTCCCAAAGTTTTAAGCAGCTCCTTAGTGACAGCTTTGCAGGCGTTTAAGGTGTCAGCTGCTTTTAGGCGGTCATCCACATAAATAGGGGCATGTTCCCGGACAAATGGCAAGGGACCAAGATACCCAGGTCTCTGAGACACTTCATATGGGGAGTGATCCCCTGCTTGGCCTCTTTGGGCATTGGGTATTGTTTGACATGCATTGGTGTTGCACTAGCCTTTAGCTGTTTCTGCCCATGCTTGGGAATTTTTTGAGCCAATTTTGGAGCAGATCTCTGTGTGTCTTTGATTTGGGGGACCTGTAAACAAAATGGATGTGGGCTCCCATTATAGTTAATAAGTCTCTTTTAAACATAAAAGAGTGGGTTACTCGGACTTTTTTTTTTATGTCCACTGATCTTTGAGTAGTCTATGAGTACCAGTTCATCCCCGTGGCCCCTTGCACCCAAGATTGTTTTGGTGACATTTTGCCTAGGGGTTGTTTTAGAATAGAGTATTGTGCTCCTGCATCCACCAGAAAATCTATGGGTTTCCCCTCTACCACCTTTAGGGTCACCTAAGGCTCTGAGCATTGCCCCCCTTTTTTTTTAGTTTAAGTACCTTTACTTTTGAGTCCTGTCAATTAGGGATTTTTTTTTAAATGATTCAACTTCCTACAGAAGGCACATCGGCCTTTCTGCAGACTAGGCCTATTGCGCAGTCCCTGCTTTAGGCCTTTCCATTTATATGGTGAACCTCCAAATGCCAATCCTGTTTTTGAACATCTGGACAGCTTTACACAGCCAGAATGACTTTGGTGAGCCCCCATGTCTGTCTTTTTAAAGCTTTGATGAACCCCTTAGTCCGTCTATTTTCGTGGGTCTCCCTATTATTGAAAACTTTTTCA